TATGCATGTTAGAAGTCTATGCATTAAGGCCTCCTTGCTTCTGACATTCATTCTGACACATGGATGGCAAGAGAAGTCATGTGCTAGTTGTATGGAGTGGAGAAAAACTTGATTCCATTTCCATTTAAAGGCATTTACACTTTCTGAAGTGAAATAAAAGCACAGCTTTCCTTTGAAATTCACACATCTTTGAATTTTGTAGTGCTGCTCACCATCCCCTGTATTTGTACAAAAGTGCACATTAGTGTAAAATGTACACTAAAATGCATATGTTAGTGAACAATAACATTCAAAACTGTGTTGTATTAGGGGGAATCTTTTACAAAAATGTGTATATTCGGAGAAGTTTACCGTTGAATTGGAAATAATTTTTTTAGAGGGGGAAAATTCAAACTGATTTGAAAATGTGGGGAACTGACATTTGAGAAACTGAGACAAACCAAAACTGACAGTTTTGTCCATCCCTAGCGAGGAGTGGAATCAGAGGGGCAGGTCTCCACAGACCAAGTTTACAGGGAAGTTATATGTGGAGGGGGCTACTACTGCTTGAGGAAGCCAAATTTTTTTGTTGGTTTTTTTTTTAGTCTTTTGAGATTTTTTTTACAGCCTTCTGGCCTGTTCTGTTCTATCTGCCTTCTGTCTTACCTGTTCCCTGTTGGCCTTCTGGGAAAAGAGGAAGGCCAGTCTGTCACGGCAGCTAAAGGAGGCATGGTACAGTGGATCCTTCATTTTATCCAGCATTCTAAAATATTTTTGTTCAACTCATCCCTTATGGAGGGGAAATTGAATGCAGCTAACATTGAGCTTGCAGCAGGGCAACCTGGGAATAAGTTCCAAATGTTCCATATTACTAAGTGCTTAAATTTTTATTCATGGTCTTGGTCCACTGAACTAGTGGAAGTAATCAGAAAGAGACACGAGTCAGACCAAATATAATTAAAAAATTGAAATGATTTATTTAAATCAAAGCAAAAAATGATGAAAATATCAAAATTCTGCAATATCTAAAAGATAAGAATAAAAAGAATGTACAAATGAACTATAAGAGAGCATTTCATAAATGTAATATGATATTCAACTGGCAAATAAAAATAGGTAACCAAATAGATACTGATAACGCATACTATTTCTAAGCTCTAAATTATATTCTCTTAAATTTAAACTAGTTCAAAGCTTACTAAATTCCCAGCCTTATAGCAGTTTATACTAATGATTAATTTTGTAGCTGGGGTAGGCAATATTGGTCCAAGGAATTGACTTCTGTGCCCAAAGTGGGGAAATGATTCCAAGATCTAGTGCATAGGCTCCAGACTGGTTCAAATGGGAAATAGGTTTAGGTAAAAGTACAGTGGTACCTTGGGTTACATACGCTTCAGGTTACATACGCTTCAGGATACGGACTCCACTAACCCCAAAATAGTACCTCAGGTTAATAACTTTGCTTCAGGATGAGAACAGAAATAGTGCAGCGGTGGTGCAGCAGCAGCAGGAGGCCCCATTAGCTAAAGTGGTGCTTCAGGTTAAGAACAGTTTCAGGATAAGAACAGACGTCCAGAACAAATTAAGTTCTTAACCCGAAGTACCACTGTAGAGGGGAAATTGTTTCAAGTTGGAATAGTGAAATAAGAGCCTCACAAGGGAATAAACAGAAAGTAAAATTAAGATTAAAAGTATCTGGGGAAAGTTAAAAGGCAGGATTCTACATCTGTTCAAAACTGTTCATGAGCCAGATATTCAGGTCCAAAAAGACTGGCTCAGTAAAAATGACTTTAGAAACTGAAGGTGGGACATGCTCAAAATTAGAAATCCTTTCTTCTCTCAGAGGGCAACCAAAAACCTTTTAGAAACATTAAGCAAAGAAGAGAGCAGTCAGGAGCACACACCTGTAAAAACAGAGGTTTTCTTTCCTTTTTAATTAATTATTAGGATGGATTGACATATTCCCAAGCCTTATCAGCATACAAAGACTCTCTTAAAGGTCATTCGGAGCTGCTAAGAAGTCTTGTTCCCTTTTCATTCTGGTACATGATCTCAGCTTCACTAAAGCATTGCCAAGCCTTCTGTTTCTCATGTTCCAGCAGGGTCCAGGCAGACAAGAGACGCTTTTGCCCTTAAAGCAGACATCCAGGCATTCTTAAATCATGAGCCAGAGTTTGTTCATTTTTTATTTTTTTTTGTCCAGAGTTTGCTTCCATTTCACATTGTAGTTCTCTGTGACGAACATCTTCACCATATATGCCAATTCCCTGCCGCCACCCTCAGAATGAGCAAAGTAAAAGCTTCCAGGAAAATTCATGATAAAGAATAGCATTGTTGTTGGCATTTGCCTGTCTCAAGAGAAAACAGAGTGCGCCTCCGAGGGTGAAGCCAAACCGCTGTGTCATGAGCACCAAAGTGACCTCCCTGGGGAGCAAAACTGGGCAGTGTATATGGAGGATAAGAGTTTTCCTTCTCCTAGATGGGCTATATTCCCAGGTTGATGAGCCCCATCTGCTCCTCACTTCCCTCAATAGCATATGCAGAAACTGCCTTCTCGAACTTTGGAACTGCAATTGATATTGTCCACTCAATCTGCCAGAGCCTGTCTCTGCCTGCAGGGGACATCCCTAACTAGTAGAGGGTATGAGACCCATCAGCTATCCTCACCTGGTTTAGTTGACTACTCAAAGTGTTATATGTACATCCTAGAACAATAGGCAGGTAGGACTGTAGAATGCAACAACTGATTGGCCTGCAGGAGAAGACCAATCAGGCTCCAGGAGGGAAGCAGAATCAGCCAATCAGACAGGACTCATTGTGTAAATAATGTATATAAAAGCCTAAGGTTTGGGGGGGGGGATTCAATTACTGTTTTACAAGCTACAATAAAGAGCATGAAATTACTGCAGGACTCCGAGTATATTTCACAAAGCAAACATCTGAACATAAGAAGAGCCTGCAGGATTAGGCCAATAGCTCATCCTGTTCTCACAGTGGCCAACCAAATACCTATGGGAAACGTCCAAGCGATTTCCCTTCCTGTGGTTTCCAGCAACTGGTTCTCAGAAGCCCACAGGATCCTCAGCCCTGCTCTATAGATAAGTAAGTAGGAAGGCAGAAAACTAACAAAAGGAACAGGTAAACAAGGCTATAAATATATCTTAAACGTATTTCCGTCTTAAACCCCGCTAAAAGGCCTTATGCAGGCCTTTTTAACAGAATAAATTAAATTTAAATTGGTTATATGATTCCCCCCAAAAAACAAATTTCATCAGAGTTTCCTTTAAGGAAAACAATTCATTGTTTCTGTGCTTCATATCTGGCTGAATAGGACTCGCGTGGCTGGGTATGATGTAAAGCAAGCATTGTACGGATGACTGCAGTTGCCAAGGGGATCGTGATGCAGGCCTTTCTTCTCTTGGAGGTGTATAATTGCAGGTACTCAGAATAGATATAAATCCTTATCCTACTTTCAGTGGTGCTCAGCAACCCACCACTTTCTTTGGAGACAAAAGTAGGAAGATAAAAAAAAAATTGAAATTCAAAGCGGGTGGGGTGACATGGCAGGGCCAACGTGCAGAACCATCCGGTCACATCCCAAACATATTGCAAATGTGTTAAGTCTCTGGGGGAATTCAAAGGGTCTGCTCATACTGTCACTTTCTCCCTACATCCCAGAAGCCATATGCTTGCAATAGCATGGGGAAATGTTCTCGGGAACCAGGTTGAATAAGGATACACTGAAGAGTGATTCCACAACAAAGTGTTCCCTAGCATGGGCATTGCTTCTGGCAAGGCTCATGCTAACTTTTCCTCCCATTTGATCATAGCCATGTGCAGTGCCAATGGCAGACAACTGTTCGCACTACAAAAACTCAGTGTTTGAATTGGCCTAAAGATGTACGATGGAATGAATCTATTTACCATGTGTTTCCCATGAGGCAAATTGGAGCTACACGGAGGGCAACAGAGATCAGGAAAGCTGTGTGAGGAATGAGAATGGGGAATAGATTCAATGCAGTTCACATTTAAAGGCAAAATTATCTAATTTACACTTTCCTTCAAAATTTGCACTTCTCTGAATTTTGCAGTGCTGTTCTCCAGCCAAGTATTGTGTACAAAAATGTATCTACTAAAGTAAGATGTGCATGAATGTAACTTACAAAAATGTATTCCAGGGGAAATTGCTCTGAAAAAAGACATCTATTAAGATAAAGTGATGCTAAAATGCTGACAAGTTTTCATGGGGATTTTAATTATGAAAACAACATAGACTGATGTAGAAATATGGGTAACAGAACCTAGGATTTGAAAAATGATAATCTTAGAGAGATCTAAATTGATAGATTTACCCATTCCTAGTAAGGTACAATGGCTAAACTCTTTTCTTCTTCTGAGGCCACAATGTTAATCCAAATTAATTTAGCTTTTAATTTAAAATAAAAATGGTGCAGAATAAAGCACAACTTGACTGGCTTAGTTACATGGTTACTAACAGAACAAGTGGGGCCTGGAACAAAATATTTCAATGTGGAGTACTGCTATTCAGGGTTCTATCCACTCAGCCACCTTTTCCAGCACACTCCAATCCACACATATCCCAAGCCAAACCAATTAACATTCCATGCCAACTCAACATGCTTGGTCTTCATTGAGCTGTAGCTTTCTGTTTTTAATGAAAGGGCTGGTGCGATTCTGTTTTTATTGCAACTAACTGTATGCATTTAATTGATTTTGTCTCTGTGTGTATTTAATTCTAGTAAAGGGTAAAGGAACCCCTGACAGTTAAGTCCAGTCGTGAATGACTCTGGGGTTCTACTCTAAACGACTAAACAACAACAAGGAGTCTCCAAGCGGCTAACATTCTCCTTTCCCTTCCTCCCTTATTTTGCTACACTGCCCCTTTCCTTCTTCACATGTTCTTCTCCTCTCCTTCCCTCCCTTTCTACTTCACTTGTTTCCTTTTTTCTTGACAAGCAAGGTTGTTTGATGTTGTTTGGCTCTGAAGTGTAATAATAAACACCTGGATAGCTCAGTTGGTTAGAGCATGGTGCTGATAATGCCAAAGTTGCAGGTTTGATACCGTTTGGGACAGTTTCCTGGTCCTGCTTTGCATGGGGTTGGACTGGATGATCCTTAGGGTCCCTTCCAACTCTATGATTCTAGGCTAATATAACATTCATTATTAAAATAAAATAAACTTTAGCAGAGGTTGGAAGAGCATGGCTGAGGTGGTTTTGCTGTACCAGCTTCCCACCGCCATGCTTCGTTGCTGGTTACCAAGAAGGGAAATGAGGCTCTGCAGGCATGGTGGCAGATCCAATCCAATGCTCCCAATGCTGTAACTCCACTGTGCTCAGCTCCCCACTGCCTTGTCCGTTCCCCCCTCATTAACTGGCAGTGACATGCAGCTTGTTAAATAGCAACACAGCCCCACCCATGGCATGGTGACAGCAGCCCCTGTTTACTGGTGATAGCAATTATTCCCTGGCCTGAAAGGTGGGTGTCTGGTCAATTCACAATGCCTGTGAGCACTCAGATTTCACCATGTTAATCGTCTATGATTTCCATTATGCAGGGCTACGTTCTTCATGCAAATAGGTGGGCTACGGTGTCTTTACTGTGTGGCATTATGACACCTTCCTGGCTTGACCTGGTCCCATTTTCCCATATTAGTTGGCTTTGTTTCTGACCTCGTTGTGAGGCGTATTAAAGTTATGAAAACACATACCTAGAATAATTTGACTTCGGAATAAACCTATTATGTTCCTTAGGCAGAACTGGTCATACGCTCTCAATAGGAGAAACTTTAGTACAGTGGCTTTGGAAAGGATTTCTTCCCAGCTGGCTCATAATCTTGTGGAGGGAGAAATTCTTTCCTTTCCTCATTTGGATACTTCCTCCTCGCTTCTTGATTTGTAGCATTCATTTGCTGGCTGCCATAACCCACCTTGTCCTGAAAGCTCTTGCTAAATAGCACTATGTGTATTAAAAGAGCAGCTCTATGATAACTATTCTTCAGCCAAGATTCAGAAGCTTTCAAAACAAAGTATGACCCAAAATGCCCAGTAAAATCAAATTGTAATAGGGCAGAATAAAATGCCAGCATAAAACAATATAAGCATACTAAAGTTTAAAGGTGTTTTCAGATGGGCTCTTCTATTGCAAGTTGGTCATTCAGATCTGATTTTTCCTGTGTGTGTGTCTGGCCTATGAGCTTCCAATACATTCCCCTTTCCTGAGATGTAATATTTATTGCTATTCTGTTGCTTGCTCTTCAAACCAGTGGGAGGAGATGTATCTGAGATGCATTTTCCTATCCTTTGCCTCAGACACTCCCTCTGCCCTCCACTACCTTCTTCCACTCTGGAATTTCAGTGTCCAAGTACACAATAGCTAACTACTAGCCTTCTCCACAATGCACACAGTAGAAGCTTGGGTTCTTTTTTTGTGGGGGGGGGAGGGAATAGACATTTGCATTTTTTAATACTGAGGTCTTGTGCAGTATTCAAATCCACATGTACTGTGATTATACTTTCCAAGTAACCTCCTACATTTACTGTGTAGCGATCTTGAGAGAGTATCTCGTCTCTTCCAAACTTGTCATGTAGCAATCAACGGAAATACTGTAGGTAACAAGTTTCCACTCCAGCAGTGACTGCAGATGTAAAATGTATTATTTTCTACTCAAGTTTCCACATTAAGGGGAGATGTAGATTAAACATTTTTTAAAAAATTAAGGATTATCATTTTAATGGCAGTGACAAAGGGTAGTATTCATCCCATCAGCACATGAATTTTCACTTGCACAATGAGACACCCATCCTCTCACAAATCTGCTCCAAATGGTAGAGAAAACCCCTAGAACAGATTTAGGAGTAAGTGGGGAAGGAGGAGAGGTGAATATTCCATTGCTTAAGGGGAAATCCTTCTTCTGACAGAAGGTTCATTGAGTGCTACATTGGATTCCACTCGCTGTGTGGATGCCACAAGAAACTTGTGAGAGTGAGCGGTATTGATTACACAATAAGCTCCTATCTGGAAGCACCTTAAAAATATTGGGTAGCTATAGCTATATTATAATATATAATATACAACAATACAATGCAATGCAATGCAATGCAATGCAATATATTCAAAGACAGTTTACTTATTGCCTCTTTTCTTCCAACCTGCATGCTACCTTCAGTGAGAGACTGTGGCAGGCTTCAGTATCACATAAGAATGTAAGAGCCTGCTGGATCAGGCCAAAGGCCCATCTAGCCCACCATTGTGTTCTTACAGTAGTCAGCCAGATGACTATGGGAAGCTTGCAAGCAGGACCAAAGCTCAACCTCACTCATCCCATTTGTAAGTACCAGAAACCAGTATACAAAGGCATAGGGTAGAGGAAGAACACAGTCTCCCTGACTAGTAGGCATCAATAGCCTTATCCTCTAGGAAATGTAATATCACATTTATAGGAGACATATAGAAAACCAATTATCAATTTAGCTTCATAAAATGTGTGATATAATTGATTTCATTTATTTCTGTACCACCTTTTCACAGTGACCTGTGACCAAAGTGACTTGCAACAAACATATATTTATCAACATACATTATTATTATTATTATTAGGGAGAAAAATCAGTTTACAAAACATAGTAATAAATTCAAATAGGACAAAATCAACTATTCAGAAAACATAAAAGAAACTGAATATCAAAAAAGAAAACTATCTATATTTAACTATATACAGTAGGTACAGAGCAAAAAAGAATGTTAACAGGCAATTAAGTTAACATTCAGGTTTGACTATTGTACTGGTAAAAAGAGACCAACACATCTCTCCTATCTTTTCTTCAGCCACAGCTTCCAAATCATTCCACCTCAACAGTCCTGATGTCACAGTATATGCTAGGAAGCTTCATGCTAGACTATAAGGTGAGAATGAAATGAAGGTGTCAGAGTGTATCACTGACAGGCATAGAGAGACGGTATCAAGGGCAGGGAAGCCAACGCAATTTCTCTGCTCTCCTCCACTTCGGACAACTTATTTTGTTGTTTTTAAATATAACTATTCACATATTGTGCTACAAAAATACTCTAGGTGTCTTAAAATGAAAAAGCAAAATGCTTACAAAAGGACAACCAAGAGAACATAGATAGCTGTCAGGGAACTGCCATCAGCTCAGAGGCAGGAGGTGGAAGGGCAGTTGGGTTACAGGGAGCCGCCAAAGATCGTGAGAAGCGGCTCGTCCTCCGGGGAGGAGCGAAGCCATGGCTCCAGTGGGGAAGGGATGCTTGGCTCGGAAGATGCAAGGGAGAGCTGCAACCCTAACCCTAACCTGAGCAATGCGGGGGGGGGCAAGTCCCCCTTTGCCCATGCCCTCTCTGAGCAGAAGGCTTAAGCGTAGAGAGGGGAGGCGTAGGATGGGGGTCAAAAAAAAGTTTAAGGACCGCCCACTCCCAGATTCTGCTAGCGACTGAGCAGACATGGAATTGAGTTGATCTGCATTGTGAACGTTTTGGACAGATAGTAAAGCCTTGAAAATACCAACGGGGAGTCTTGCCTGATTTCTCTCGAGCAACCACGCCAGCACACATAACAATAGCCATTGAAATTCAAGCCAAGCAAACTAACACAACAGAGGAGAATAGTGAGTCTCTTGGTCTATTTAGCCCAGTGCTATCAATACTGACAGTGGATTTCCAAGGTTTCAGTCAGAGACCTTTCTCAGCCCTGCCTGGAGATGCCATGGACTGATCCTAGGAACTCCTGCATACAAAGCAGATACTCATCTTGTTTCTCCCTCTTCTTGTTCTAGCAGTAGCACACACAAGCCATATATATTGTTATGGGTTTGGAGGAGGGGGAGCAGGCTCTATGCAAGATTCTTCTAATGGTTAGGCTGGGCACCATCCATTCCACTTCACTGTCCAGGCGACTTGATCATTTAGTGTCTTCTGTATAGTTGGCATTGGTTTGTGAAACAGGAGGAAGACATGTGGAGAAGACCTGTCAGGAAAAGAGAAAGTGAAGGAGACAGCAAGACCGAGCTCCCTCAGAGGCGCTAGGAAGCTTCGTTTCGTCAGGGTCAAGTTTACACTTCCAGAGTTAACACTAAATACATGACTTCTGGTAAATGAATCACAATAGCTGCTAGAGGGCCATGAAAATTTGCGTCCTGGGCTTTTTAGACTCGTCTACCCATGTACTATCTGAAAGCAAAGGGGCACATTGGTTGCCAGATGTGAAATATATTGGCATTCTTTTCAGCTCTCCTACTGCAGTAAAGTGACAGAACTCACAGCCTAAACACAGAAGGAAATAGGAGAAATGATACAATTATTCTGTGAACTAACATAGCAAGTAGGAAAAGACCAGTCATATAATGCTCTCACTATCACTATCCAGTCGCCCCTAGGAGAATTATCAGCAGTTAGTAGTTAACCTTTGCCCTACTACAGCAATGAATCCCAGCCAGCAAGTGGTCAAGGATGATGGGAGTTGTAGTTCAGCAACATCTGGAGAGCCACATGTTCCCTGATTTACAAATCAGGTGAAATTGTATAACCAGTGCTTTTTTCTGGGGGGACACGGGGGTACGCATACCCCTAAACATTTTTGTGAATCTAAGTTTGGCCTCATTGAGGGGCAGTATTTCAATATGAGTAGGAAAATGAGAGTACCCCTAAACACTTTTTTAAGGAAAAAAAGCACTGTGTATAACTCAGTTGCAAATTATACTATTATACTTTCCTATTAGATGCCCAGGGAGAGAGAACAACTTTTTCCTGCATGGCAACTCACAATTTTCTTGTACCCTTTTGGGCAAAGATTATATATATGAAACAAGCAATAATGGATTCTTATCACTCCTCCCCATTTTCTATCCATAGATTGAAGAGGATGTGACATAATTGTGTTATTTCAGGCAATAAAACAAATCATCCACCGCAGAGAAGTGATCATGCAATTTCAAATGGCTGATTAGGCACCTGGGTTTTGAAGCTGGGTTTTTTTATGTTTTAAATAGATCCTACTGTATTTCCCCTTTCAATAGTGAAATATATCTAAAGAGATGTGGGAAAAAGAGGCTTCACATAATTATATATATTTGTTTTCTGTGGGAGGGAAGATATTTTTTCTGCCCTGTGCATGTATTTTTATCAATTTACAATGTAATTCTATGCATATTTGGAAGCCAGTCCAACTTGGATTCATTTGCAAGTAAGCAATATACGTAGGTTTGCAGTCTGTAAGGATATTGGTGAATTGAATTGTGCATGTATGGTTATATGAAAGAATTGGAAGGAACACAGAAGCTGGAGGTGGGAGGAAGTTCCTTATGAAACTTTTAGGAGGAACAGATTGAGCTTCCCTGCCTCCCCCCTCCTTGCTTTCCCTTTTCTTTGTCCAAGAATTTCATACTGTGGGCTCTCTTGTTAATTTACTGTGATACTTTAAGAAGCAAGGAAAGCTGTTATAAATCCCACAGACAAAAGAGGAGCTGTAGGAGGCTGGAAGACAGATGATGATTATATCACAGAGTAGTGTGCAGTGTGGCAACCTATTTATATTATTTTGTAAAGCCCAAGGCAATGAGGTCAGATCAATTTGATTCAGTCTACATAAGGTCAGCTGTGAAGTTACAATCCACATCCAAATTCATCCTAAACTCTTAGGGCTGAGGGTTTCGATCCTAATTCTTATTCATTTGCACTTCAATAAAAATAGGTTTTTTTCATGTTTGGGATTGAGTGGGGGAGAGGGAGAGGGAAATGGAAAGAGAGGTGAAGTGATTGCCAACTTGACCATGCAAAGGCCTTCACTGAAGGTTTTTGGGTCTAGGAATGGAATAGTAGCCAAGGCAGTGCCCTCCAGATATTGTTGTACTCCAGCTCCCATTGTCCTTGATCATAGGCTGTGCTGGTGAGGGTGGATGGAGGTTGGAGTCCAGCATCATCTGAGGAAGCACCACATTGGGCCACCTTGAGCAACAACAATCAGCAATAAAGAATTTCACATAGAAGAAAACTCAGGACTGGGGTTATAAAAGTACAAAGCTGTTCTGTAGCATGACAGGTTGTGACTGGTACCTCTAAAAGGTGCATATAGTTCTGCCCATAAGACAACCCAATGGTTCTTTGACCTCACATGACTATAAATACTTCCAGGTCAGGTTTGAAACTTTGTTTTGACAGCAGCCAGTCTCTGGCCCTCTTGTGGCTTCCTAGTTTTGTGTCTGATTGGTCTATATGTCTGTCTGTTTCTCTTGTATGTCCTTGTCTTCCTGAATTATTTCTCCACCATTTTTTGCTGGATTTCAGACTCTGACCTTTATTGAAGCTCCTAGGGATCTACCTCCATAACTCCATCCATTACTCTCTTGTATAAATTCTAGCAAGATTCACTTTTCAGCTTGCTCTGGTGATAGTCATTAAGGCTGCAGATGAAAAACAGCAATTGTGGTCATTAGATTGGAATATAGTTAGCTTGCTCTTTTGCACGCTTCAAATCTTTCCCCCTTGCACTTGAGAGCTGTAGACCAAGAACAATTATGTGTCCCTTCCCCAGCAATGCATATGAGCTAAAAGCAGGTCTCAACAAAAGCAAAGCATTTTTTAAAAATCATTGACATGATCTATAATCAAATTGTTACAGAACAACAACACCATATCATATCAGTAAAACAAAAAACAAGAACCCAAGAACAAACAATTCAATAAACAATAAGTTGATATCCATGTATTAATTAAGAACAATCCTGGATCAGTTAAAAGGGGATAGTGGAGAAATCCCCCCCCCTTTCCCAGTTCATCAAATGCTAGTGGCCATGATGAAGCAGGCTGACAATCTAATTTATACACCTGGAAGTAATATCTTGGAATCTACTGTTTGTGGAAGAACTACCCATGGCAAAATTAAACAGTGACTGCTGTTACTATATCTGCTGGGCATGTAGTAGCCTATTCATAATTAATTTAGCCATCCAATTTCATGTCTAATAGACCCATTTAAGAGTCATCAACACGTCTGCCACTAATCACCTCACCCCCTCAGTTGCACAAGGTCAAAGCAGAGAAGGAATAATAATAATAATAATAATTTATTATTTGTACCCCGCCCATCTGGCTGGGTTTCCCCAGCCACTCTGGGCGGCTTCCATAGAAACAAAAAATACAGTAAAATATCACAGATTAAAAGCTTCCCTGAACAGGGCTGCCTTATTTTGTTGGAATGGAGACTGAATTCCTCTCTCCCCTACAGGTGCTTTCTTCAGGTTAAACAAACAAACAAACAAACAAAAACAATTCTTTGGTGCCCATCAAACACATCAGTCATCTTTGGTTGGCAGTTAGTTACATTCCATAGAAACATCATTGTCTATCACAGTTATATCCTTAAGGTGGTGTACAGTTGTGTTTTTTCTTGTTTTTCATTTTATCCTTACAATAACCCTGATAGTGACTGGCACAAAACTCACTCCATGAGTTTCTTCTCTGATCAGTAATTCCAATCACACTCTTTGGTTCCATGCTCAACAATCAAACCACTACATCACATATTTTTTTTATAAGTAATAAGCTGAAGGAGCATCTCCACTCCCATCGTTCTACCTGGACACTGAGGTCTAGCGCCGAGGGCCTTCTGGCAGTTCCCTCACTGTGAGAAGCCAAGTTACAGGGAACCGGGCAGAGGGCCTTCTTGGAAGTGGCACCCGCCCTGTGGAACGCCCTCCCACCAGATGTCAAAGAGAACAAGAACTACCAGACTTTTAGAATACATCTGAAGGTATCCCTGTTTAGGGACGCTTTTAATGTTTGATGCATTACTGTATTTTAATATTTTGTTGGAAGCCGCCCAGAGTGGCTGGGGGAGCCCAGCCAGATGGGCAGGGTATAAATAAATATAATAATAATAATAATAATAATAATAATAATAATAATAATGGCATCTGTTGCCATCCTGCAGTCTTATAATTCACCCAGACATCAGAATCATTGGCCATAATAAATTAAAGAAGGTCTTGGTTATGGATCTCAATCTATCACAACAAATACAGTATGGTGCGCTGATTTCATTACAGTTGGTGTGTATTTGTTAACTACTAAGATATTAAGGGTGGAATTTAACACTGCTCTAAGGAGATCGTTCTGTCAGTGGAAATGTGTTGTGGGCGTGGGAGCCAAGTTGCATGATTCAGTTGAATCCGGCCCTTAGTAAACAGAAAGGGGGAGAATATTATCAAAGCACAAAGAAATCAAATGTTGCAAAAGCACAGATGCTGAAATGAGAGTGACTGAAGTTGTGATAAAAAAACCATTCAGACTATTACCTTATGTATTGCCTTTAGATTATAATCAGAACATACAGCTAACAAGCATAGAAGTTGTATTAACTTAAGCATTTGCATTTTCTTGCCAGGAATACAGTGGTACCTTGGGTTAAGTACTTAATTCATTCTGGAGGTCCATTCTTAACTTGAAACTGTTCTTATCCTGAAGCACCACTTTAGCTAATGGGGCCTCCTGCTGCCGCCGGGCCGCTGGAGAACGATTACTGTTCTCATCCTGAAGCAAAGTTCTTAATCTGAAGCACTATTTCTGGGTTAGCAGAGTCTGTAACCTGAAGCGTATGTAACCTGAAGCGTATGTAACCCGAACTACCACTGTATCTCTGTAAGGATAAAATACTGCACCTATTTATTTGGGAATGAATCTCAGTGAAATCAGTAGTAACTGGCATATGGCCTTGCCTAATGTAATGGATGGATTCCTATGTAAATTTGAAGGTTGGCAGGTTGTTGCTTGTGGTGTATTCAGACACAGTGAATTAATGGTGCACTGTCCTATTAGGAGAAGACCAGACCAGCTTCCAGACGCTACCTATTTCTACTGGTTCTTTCCTTCGACTAAGTCAGAGAAACCCTGCCGTAGGCTAGGAATGTACAGCCCTGCCAGGGGGAGGTATATAAAACCTGGTTTATCAGAACAAAATAAAAAAAAATCCTTCCAGTAGCACATTACAGACCAACTAAGTTTGTTATTGGTATGAGCTTTCATGTGCATGCACACCTCTTCAGATATGATATCTGAATAGGTATCTGAAGTAGTGTGCATGCACACGAAAGCTCATACCAATAACAATAACCAATATTGGAAGGAATTTTTTTTTATTTTGTTTCGACTATGGCAGACCAACACGGCTACCTACCTATATCTGGTTAATCAGGTGAGTTATGGAAACCTTTGAATAAACAACATTCATCAAAAATCTCTACTAATCTGTGAAAGCTGTAAACCTTACTTTTAAAATACCAAGGGGAGAAGAGGTAGATTAAGAAAGTGTATTGATTGATTGCTGTATGTTATTCTAGTCTTATTGGATATAGAACAACAAACAACAACAACAACATAAAAACCGCTAAGTGAAATGCTGGGGTGACAAATTCTAGCATGACAAGTAAATATGGATCAGGATAAGATTGAACTTCAAGTATATGTGCTTACCTGTTTTGTTTTTTTACAAAAAATTTTTTTTGTAAACTTGCTGGTATTGACTAAAAGCTATTTTGCTCTATGTGAAGTGTCGCTACTGCTACTTGTACACCTAGACATTTATTTAATACCAATGTTTTAGGCACCAAAAGAACAGTGATCCTGTTGTCCACTAGTTTATAATCTACATTAAGTGAACAAAATAGAGAAGGGGATGAGAGCTCTGATATTGACAAATGACAGGAGGAAGTCATATGACAGTGGAAGTGTAGGAAATTGAGGCTATACCTGAGAAGAAAAGCTTTGCTGGAAAAGTGGATCTCACTTTGAGGAAGGGCATTCAGGAAGTATGGGGCATCATTTCATGAGAAGTAATAGCTATGGGAAAGGAAATTGATGGTGAATGAGCTTCATACGTTTTTGGCAGTGATAAGTGTTCAAAGGGGAGACAGTCTGGACTGCAAAGCAACACACTAAGTTTTAGAATATCTATCAAGGGTTTTCTTCTGGTTTGTAATAAGAAAATGGGTGCTTCCAATCACACATTGTGGCAAATGGTTATTTTGCTATTAAGAGACTGGGCAACTGCTTCTTTCTTCATTGCATGTTGACTAATGAACTGACGTGAGACTGGGTATTCTGAACAGAGAATTAAAGAAAATAGATGTAACAGAGGAGATAATGGACAGTCAAGGACTGATGGTGCCTGAGTGTGGTGCTAACCAGAGAACCATTTTCTTTTTAGAAACTGCTTCTAGGTAAAATGTCAGGTATGGTGCTCTTGCCATCAGTGGAACAAGACTGACAATATTAAAAAGAGACTCAATCTCTGAAATCAGAGACCTTTATACATGTGCTGATAGCAGGCACCCATCTTCAAAAATTAATCCTATCATAGGAATAGATACAGAGGTCTAGAAAATGTTGATTGTCCCTCCAGTTTCTATCTTGAAGGTGTGGTCTTTAGCAGAAAAGGATATTTTGTGGCCTAAGATGGACATGGTAAGGAGGTAAGACAGGGTAGGGAAGAGGAGTAGGGAAATAAAATGGAGAAAAGCATAGGAAGTGCAATTTCCTGAGAGCAAAATCAGAATATTCCTGAAGTATAATGTACCATTTAGCAATAAAGCACATGAAAGACTAACTAGATTGCTTTTTTGACCAATTTGCAAAATCGGTGAATCATAAAAATAAGAGATAGGAAATGTCTATTAGATCATCTACGTCATTCCCCCTCCAATGTAGGGTGAAATTAAGAAATGGACAATATATGCTGTATGTTTGGAGAACCTTTCTAAAAGTTAGAACTAAGACTGGAACAATGTTCCGTGGGAAATGGTGGAAATGACATTGTTTGAAATAACTAATGTTCTGTAGAAAAAGAGAGGGGGAGAGAGAAAACAGACTTGCAGATCCGTCCGAAATACTCAGCAGTCCCAAACACGGTTCCCAAAAGAACCTGAGGAGTCAGTATTTTGCTCTATGTGAAGTTCCCAAAAGAACTTGACTTCAGTATTCCTGTGTAGGCCAGCCCTTCCCCCTATTCTAAACATCAGATGTTGAGCTTTCACCTGAACTTGGCTAGAACCCTCCTTTTGATTGGGAATCTTTATTGCACAGGCTCCTAGTGTCAGAGAGAATTCTAACCACATTCAGAGCCAGTGTGGTATAGTGGTTAAGAGGCTGTGGACTCGTAATCTGGTGAACTGGGTTCGCGTCCCCACTCCTCCACATGCAGCTGCTGGGTGACCTTGGGCTAGTCACACTTCTCTGAAGTCTCTCAGCCCCACTCACCTCGCAGAGTGTTTGTTGTGGGGGAGGAAGGGAAAGGAGAATGTTAGCCGCTTTGAGACTCCTTCGGGTAGTGATAAAGCGGGATATCAAATCCAAACTCTTCTTCTTCTTAAAAGAATCCCTATTCAGACATCAGTGCATGAAGATCAGGAGCGTAGAGTCAGCATGTATGGGGATGTTAGGAGTGGGACTGGTGCATGCATGGTCTTGCCTCATAGCTTGAGTCCTCCCATGTTATTTTCCATATGCCTGAATAGAGGTAAAATTTCAATTCAATACAATTTACTTTTAATTATGTATTCTCTTTAAAAAAAAAAATATTAAATTTTAAAGGGTTACAAAAAGAAAAAATTAAAAAACAGCATATTTAAGAAATACAAAACATCACATCACAATAATAGAAAAAAAACAAAAAGAAAAAAAGAGAAAAAGAGAAAATACAATAAATCTTCCCATATCTTATCTTTCATTTGCTTATTCCCTTGACCTCCTCACACCTCCCTTTTTTGTATTCTAGCTCAATTAACTATTTCAGCAAATCCTTTCCCTCCTTTCCAGTTTTTGTCCTCTATTTTATCTTAATATAATGTAACTTTACTTTCCCTCCTTCACCGTTTAGCAATCTATTTTTCCTTAATCCTTTATAACATTTCTTTAATTATGTATTCTCAAGATTTGCTGCCGTAAGAGATTATACTAGTCTGCCAGGGATTGAGGAAAGGGTGATTGTGAAAGTGGGATTGTGTTGGTGTAATCTAGAGAATCATGGAGAAGTATTCAACCAAATAGTTGCACTATCACAATGATTAGTGCTACCACCAGTGTTTTTCCCCTTTTTCTGGGGGTATGCAGGGGTACGCAAACCCCTAAACATTTTGTGTATCTTTGTACTTTTGTCCATTTACTGTATTTACTTTTCCCATTTTAAACTATAAAATGGTGAATTTCTTGAGTCAAAATGAGACTACCCCTAAACATATTTTTAAGAAAAAAGCACTGGCTAGCACTGTGGGATTTTCCCATTCCCCCCCCCCCATGTGTGCCCTCTGCCATCCCCAAATCTGCTCCAGAGGGGTTGTAGAGCTGCCAGAACAGAGTTGTGGGGTACACAAGGGAAGGAGCAGAGGAGATTGTTCCATTGTGCAAGAAGAAATCCTTGGGCTGACAAAATGTTAGCCTTAATGCCACATTGGATACAACCCATAAACATTAGCCAAATAATGTTGCAAACAGCCTGAGCTTCCTATGAGCATTTCCCCTGCAGTAGGTCCCATTCAATTATTATTGTTGTTGTTGTTGTTGTAGAAGTAGAAAGCTTCTTTTTCAACTCGCTTTAAGGAGTTGGAGCTCCTTTTGAAAAAGTTTCAAAGACAGCTCCCACTATTTTTGTATAAATGACAATCATTGGATCGCAGTTATGCAATAATCATGAATCATGGCTCAGACCATTTCCCCATCTAATCCAGAATCTTGTTGTCATAGTGGCCAACCAGGTGCCCCTGGGGAGTATGCAAGCAGCATCTGAGAACAAGGGCGCCCTCCTCTCCTACAGTCTCCAGCATTCAGAAGCATGCTGCCTCTGATCAGGGTGGCAGAGTTTAGTCATTGCATGGCCATAATATTATTGCACTATAATACTATATTATCCCATTTTGGGGTCCCATTTTGCAAGTCAGTCTAACATTTACATTCTATGGTTAGGCTTAGGCTTGAATTAATTCAAGCCTAAACCTAAGGAGAGACCCTCTTTTTATTAACATGGGTTTGAGTACGACATGGCTATTATTTTCATACGTAACATGCTAATGAACTCTTGTCCTCACGGGAATAAACAATTGCACCATTTCCCATAATGTGAAGTGTAAAGTGTTGGCACATGGAGGAATAGATGACAATAAAATAAAAATATTTGAGTTCCTTCCGCATTAAACCTCAAATTGCTTAGCATGGTTTACAAGATGTCCTTATTTCATTCTAGTCCCTCAGTAATATTTGCTTACTTATATATTTATTTACAAAAATATTTATATACAAGTATTCATTTTTTTAAAAAAATAAAAAGAGTGGTTGACAACAAATCTACTTAAAAGTATACTCTCTCTCTCTATATATATATTATACGTATATATATATATATATATATATATATATGTAAAAATTGAGAATCAATGGACTGCTAGGAAAAGATTTAATCAGTTTAGAAGCTGAAACAGAGGATTCCTGCTGAATCTTTATTGACACAGTATTCCAGAATACTGAGGACAATGACAAAGGCTCAGTTTTTTGTTGTCAAATGAACATCACCAACTCAGGAAATGGCCAGTGATGTTCCTGTAGATGATCTCAGTGAATGAACTGGGATACAATATCATGAGAGAAGAATGACATAGCAGAAGAAGTCCTGAATCCAGGTCACACTGAATTCACTATAGCAACTGGTATTTAAAGGAGAGATGTAGCCAATCCTTTGCACATTAAACAATTTTCAGATGAGCAGTTAAAAATGCATATCAATATCATGTAATTGTTGGTTGCTTACACACCTAAAGCTGAATTTCAAAAACTGCAAATAACTAACAAGCTTTCTAACCTTTATTGGAGAAAAATAAACTTAAGTCTGCAGTGGTATACTTAACATTCACATATAGCAAATATAAAGGATCAAAGCGATGGAAGACTGCCTTCCTTGAGATGTACTTACCCATGGAGCGATTCTGAGGGCGTCTCTGACATCTGAGGTGTTGAAAGTAAACAAAGACCAATGGGTTAATCAAAAATAACAGTCAACAGTTTCTCAATTGAAAGACCAACTCTTTCTCAACAAAAACACATATTTGATGACGTGTACATTGTGCTGATGTTT